TACACACACACACACACACACACACACACACACACACACACACACACACACACACTAATTTTTATGTTGCGTCAGTTGACTCTGGCTCACAGGACTCAGGCTGCAGGATTAAAATAGCAGCATAGACATTCAGCATGGGCTGGAGCCTGGCCTCCAAAGCCCACCTCACTTGCTGGGTTTCAGAGCCTGGCCTCCCGCCTGTGCAGGAACAGCTATACTGCTATTTTTAACCTTGATACCCAAGCCCCACAAGCCTGAATCAATTGACCCAAGCTCTCAGACTCAGCGCTATTATAGGTTTTTCTTTGCACTGTAGACATACCCATAGGGGCTAAGCGATGTGTGTTTGGAGGCATCATCCATGTACATATATAGTTATAATAAAACATCACTCAAGAAAATCGAAATCCATTCATTTTCTCATCAAAACACTATTCTGATTCTTTTGACGTTATTATTACAACACTAATTTTTCAAAAAAAAATTCCCTATATTTATTCTAAAGATGTGAAATTATTCTTTTTTGCTTCCTCCACTGAAATATTCCTACATTTCAAATTAAACGGACCTCAAAAACTGTATATATTGAATAGAGGTTACTCCATAATTTAGAAAAGCTGTAAAAGATTATGACCAGGTGATGAAACATTATCAAAGACTAGATTAATTTGAGAAATAACTTTTCCCACAAATTCAACTAGATGTTCCAATGCAGACTGCCCCCAATACAAGTACTTAAACTGCACTTTAAATTAAGTTTGTAATCTAATCACACTTATTTGTATTTTAACAGAGAATTATTTAGCTTGAATTATCTATTTACACATTACAGATTAACAATCAAGAACTGTCTTCAATGAGCATGAGTTTAGCAAATCTCTATAAATAAAATTCATATTTCAGAGACGTAGCCTATAGTGCCTCACCTGATAAGTTGAGTGAAATGTCAATATTGTAAATGAGCATAACCCAATTCCCCTACCCTTCCATGAAAACATAAGAGATGAAAGTAAAGTCAGAATAAAGACAGATCTTAACTACATAACTTAATTTTTAACAGTAATAATGACTAGGGAAAGAAACTTGAAATCAAGATAGTCTAGTTTAAGCAGTATTTGGCAATGCCTAAATACTCAAAATTTACAACCCTTTTCACATTTAAGTTTTACTTGGAGTGCATGGAAATGGCAGAAGATAACTAACTAACAATATTCTTACTTACCAATAACTGTTTTTAGTCTTCCTTGGCATTCTTGTAAGAGGAGGGTCCAGACAGCCGAGATGATAATGTAGTTTACAGGTATCACACAGTAAGAGCAGGTGTTGATCATGGTTCTTCTTACAAATTCCACAACTTTGAATAAATGCAGCCAAATAAAGCATTAAAATTACATTTGAGATGGTAAAGCATATACTATACAGTACTGTATTTCTTGGTGACAATAAAAAGTGCAAGTACACAAATATATATTAATGACATCATACAGTTTTCACAGTATTCATTTAAAATTAGCTACATGATTACTTTTGAAAATGTTTATGACTAAGCACCTTTTAAAACTAGGTGATATCTCATCTTCTAACATTTTCTTTAAATTTCATATTCAAGTACTGTAGAACTGCAGTTACCCTTCTGATGCTCGAATCAGGATATCCCATGATATCATCAAGCACCAGTGCAAAACACAATACATGCGGGGGCGGGAGGGAGAGAAGATCACCACGCTGGGACAAAAAATATTATTGGCTGGCTAAGTAGAATATTATTACTACTATTAATCGTTTATCTATTTCAATAACATTGAAAGACAGGAGTGCAGTCTCATCATGCTGGATAATGTACAAACACAGAATAAATCAGAGTTCACTTTTTAAATTGGCCTACTGTACCAATATTGGCATTCTAGTTTAGTAGTCTCAAAAAGATTAATTTTGTACTTATTAATCACATAATGAAAAGAAAGAAAGAAAGAAAGAAAGAAAGAAAGAAAGAAAGAAAGAAAGAAAGAAAATCTGTTCAAAAGCAGCTTGCTGACCCATCAACTTAAAGAGTAAATATCCTCAAATGGCAAATATTTTTAACACTATACTGCTGAATACATAATATTGTTCATACCAAAATCCTCACAACAGTATAGACTACTAAATTCAAAGGACAATAGCATGGATTTAAAATTTCCACATTACAGATGCAACCGATTCCAATATTTCAGATGTAGAAGCCATTTTCTTTTAAAGCACTGCTGTCTATTAACAGAGAAAGCCCTGCCAATGTGTGCGCCAAAATAAAGAAATGACTCAGCTTCTTAGCTTGGAGATAAACATAACTCTAATGGCAGCCAATAGTAAGCAAGATGTGGGGGACGCATTTTCTTCAATTTTTGTGTAAATAAACACTTCAATTATAAATATTTATCAACACTTTCCATACTATATCATGCCTAGTCTACCAAGACTGCATTACTTGCCTATAAAGTACTGCTGGAAGCGTAGACGTCTTTTGTGTTCCTCCTTCCTTTTTACTTGGTTTCCTCTCCTTGGGTGCTCGTAAAATTGCTGGTATGTTCAATTTCTATTGGATTTGAAGAAATGTAGTTTATATAAGTTTTTTGGGGAAGTATACCATTCCCATTTGCCACTCCACAGCCAGTTAAATTTGGTCAACCTCAGGATACTACTATTATGAGGGGAAAACTGCTTTCTAAACTACTTTACAGGAAAGAGCAACTACAGTATTTATTTTGTCTCAAAACAAATTTTGTTTTTCACAGAATTACAGTCACATTTTTCAATGTAAAACTAAAACAAAAAAATGCAAACACTAAAGTCCTGGCTTTTAACTTTTCCCCCGCAACCTTTAAGAAAGAAAGAAAGAAAGAAAGAAAACCCATTACACCTTAACAAAAGAATATTGAAGCAGTTTATTTTCCTCAGCCTCCCTGTTATACTGGTGCTCCATAGGTTAATTAGAAAAATTATCTTATTGGACCAAACTCTCCACAAAGCAAACGAGATTCTCTTCGGGTTTCTACTAATCTGCAGTATGCAAGCTTCTCAGACAGCAACCATCTATCAAAGTCATTTCTTGGCGGCCCTGTGGGCCTGCATCTGTTCAACCAACTGGAAAAAAGTGTCATGCAAGCTGTGCAAATGAATTTTACTTCTATTTTCTATTTTTTTTTTTTAATTTATTAATGTTTGCACTGGGAAATATGTTTGTGAACTATTTTTAAAACTATTTTTAAAAGGTAAAATCTTGTTCCAGACCGACCAAGTTCTACTTGAGATACTCTCTAAAAGATATTTCTGTACAAGACAAGTAGGTAAAAAAAAAAAAATATGCAGCCAGCTTGGCGTGGGTAACCAATATGATAAAACCATAAGCATTACTGCAGACAGCATGGGTAAATTTCATTTTAAGTACAGTAATACAAACACAGAAGTACCAAAGGCCATCACAAAAATCTCTGACACAGGACCTAATTAGGTGATGTCTTTTTATTCTCATCCTCTTAAAATACTGACAATATTTATTCTGCACAATTCCCAAAAGCACCTTTATAATTAGTATGGCATGTCAATGTTCAATACATTACATCTTGAAAAAGACTGCTGTCTTCCTTGTGTGCCTGCCAGGTGTGAGCCTTTTAGGGGGGTATGGGGGATATTACATAAAAGACCAATGAAATGACTCACTATTTCAGAAACACAGCCATCTACATGCTGCCAGATACAGTTTTCCGTGTGAAAAAGAACACCTGTACTGAACAAGTGTTCTCAATCTTTAAAAACGTGACTGGAAATAGTTTCATGTTCTCTTCTGATGGATAAATGCTACATTGCCATATTACATATATGGGGTTTCATGAACATGATCCATGTATCTGTTTACCTTTTCTCTTAATTCAATGAATTTATGAGCATACTGAAGCATGAAATGTACCTCCTTCCTTGCAATGGACAACATGGTCATTGGTAGCATGAAGAAATAATCAAAAGTTCCCATATCACTGATATAATATACTCACTATTTCTAAGAAAGGGTACATCTTTTTATCTGCATAATTTAAAAAACACTGTTGAAAGTGATGTGTGGTTTTAGGGATGTACAGTTTATAAAATGGTCATAAACAGTCAATACAAACCCAACGAACCATTCTACAGTATTTGAAACCTACAACTGCTAAAGAAAAAGTGGAGGGGAATACGGTGGGATTAACTCATGCTTCAGGTTTAGTTTTATCACAAATGACAGGTCAATCAGTTACAGCAAATGAAAGAATTTTGCAAACAAGATAGCTATTATAACAACAAAATTAAGCTACAGGTTCCCAGTAGGTTGCTTGCAGAGCTTTAGATATATTTCAATCAGAAATCATTAACCCCAGAGTATGCAAAGGTGACAGATACAAAATAACAAAACCTATTCTCTGACAATCATGTGCACCTGTGTGGTGCCAAAGAGGGGGGGGTGGGAGAATGAAAAGCCAACCTGCCCAATGATTCTACCCAGTAGAGTCCATATTCCTTGCCCTTCGTTTCGTAGCTTTCCATTCATATTTTGTAGCTCTTCCAAGGACTCACACAGCTGAAAATAAAAAATTGAAAAACTCTTTTAAAGCTCATGTACTGAAGTTACTCAGCATCTATTATCTGAGAACTCTTTACCTGTAACTTTTATAAATTACATAATTAAAAACACAATGAAACTCAATAGTCATGTCAATACATTAGAGATCAGTGCAGTCATTCAGGCATATAACAGCACTAAGAAGAAAGTTGGGCAGCCATCTGTTTTGTAAAAGAGGATCTGAAGTAATTCAGCATGACAATTAGGTTCCACGATCACAATCAGAAAGCAAAATTAAAGTATACTAATGCATCATACAAATTCTACTACACTATTTCCAGCTATGAAGTTATGGCAAATGTTTTATATAGGGAATCAAGTTTTGTTCCTTCACCACCAAAAAAAAAAAATCACACACTCTTAAAAAAACCAAGCCCCACTTATTTTGTTAATTTAAAAGAACACCGAAGCAGAAGACCGTATTCTCAAAAGTAATTGCCAGCTATAATACTGTATGTACAACCTAGTAATTTTGTTAATCGTCTTCTCCATTCCTCTCTTATTATTCTTGGACAATACAACAAGCAGATGTTAACATTTGTTTGCATTTAAAACGTGTTCAAACCACTTTATATAAATTCTAACCTGCTGAATTCAGCAAGCATCGGTATTATATAATCCTGCACAAAAAATAATTTTAATGGTTTTATATATATATATATATATTTCTGTTTCAAAACAGTTCAAAAAGTGATAAGGCAATTTTAAATCAACACTAACTCCTCCACATACCATGGCTTGCTTCACACACATTCATTATAGCAGCACTTCCTTAAGGCAATGTTATCATCTGTTGCTCCCCATAAAAAAAAGTTTTGGGAAGGCTCAAAATTTGGATATTGATAAAAGCATGGGCAACTGTTTTCATGTTTTGTTTTGTTTTGTTTTGTACACTATTTCATGTAAACAATTCCTGCACTGCTGAAAATCCAGACACTACCACTAGAGGAGAACCTGAAAGTCAAACTACCCAAAAACAAAACTGTGAGAGTGACAAGTCAGGGGTCACTGTCCAAACTAAGTGCACACAAACAGCAAAAATGGTAAAAAGTAAGGCCCAAATCTTTCAACTAGTTCCAGGCAAGAGGGCCTCTGTGCTCACGTGGAGCCCTGTTAATGAGGCTCTATGTGAAGGATCAGTACCCAACTTAGATTTTAGAAATTCACTATAGTTGTGATAATTTAAAATGTGAAGGTAAGATATATTTTAAGTAACATTTTTATCCTAGTACCCTTTAAATAGCAGTTTTCCACATCTCTAAGAAATGCCTTTGAAAAGCAAAATTCTATCAGTTAACAACACGCCAATGCTTAGCACAGTTGTATTCACTGCTTTTCTTACCTTGTTATATTCCACATGAAGTTTTTCTTGCTCATTTTCTAGTTTATCCTTAATATTCTTCTGTTCAGCCATATTTTCTTGGATCTGAATCATGCGCATGTTTCTCTCTGTTTAAAGAAAATCCAGTCCTTTCTAGCTTTAGTTGTATTTGTTCAAGTGTGCCACATTGTTGACACATGGAATAAGTGTTACACATTTAAGCACCAAGTTAAAAAAATCTTAAAATGTAAAACTACTACGAGAGAGAGAGGGAGAGAGAGAGATGATCAAATTACAGGCCACTGTCCTGTTAAATGATCTATGAGAGTGATGGAATACAAGCACTCCCCACCATGTAGACCGGGGAAAAGTATTTTTGATGAATAGTTTATTTGCAAAAAATGCAGTTTTGGTTATCCCAAAACTATTCCTGAATATGACACACATTTGTGAGTAGTTTTGGACCATTTTTCTTTTCAGTACTTGGATGCCATTCTCAAAATGTCCAGAAAAGGTAGTGCTGAGATGGAGGTGATTGCCAGAGCCCTCCTTATAACTTTTGATCAAGTGATTAGAGCCCTCACCCAGGATATGGGACATGCAGATTCAATTCCCCTCTCTGCTGATATGGAGAAGGTATCAGAACTTGAGTCTGCCCCATTGCATTATATTACCTGGGCCACAGACTAGGGGAATATACCGGTGTGCGTCTGTGGTGTGACTGCCCTAATCACTGGGATAAAAATGATAAGGCATCATCACGAAGTCTACCTCCTCGAACCTAGCCCTTTAAAAAAAATACCCAAAACAGATTTTTTTTTCAATTTGCTAATTTTTTTATTTTTGTTTCCAGTTTCTAGATGCAGTTAACCCACATCAAATCTTTTTAAAAAAATTTTGAACCTCCCAGCTTCACTGCCACATACTTTTGCTGCATGGGCAAAGTCAGAGTGAGATAACTGTTTGGTGATGTGCACTGATTGGTCATCTCAAGCTAAACCAGCTGACATCAATCACAACAGCATGCCCTTCTAAGATGGAAACAGAGTACTGAGGACCTAAAGACACAGCGCTCAAGATTTTGCTAGGGATGTTCAGAGGGGAGAGAGATGCTCTTCCACCTGACTTCAAAGAGGACAAAACAAAAAAGGTGACAAATATCTACCCTTACAGGCCTGTCAACAAAAACATATTCCCTGCTGTTTATGTTTGAAGGAATTTAGTTTACAAAAGAGAGATATGTTTAAAAAGGCACCTTAACTTACTTTAGCATATTGAGATACTGAGTGTGAACTCTGCATTCATTTGAATGAGCAATAATAGCTTTTTCTCTAATAATTATAAGAAAAAAAATATATATATATATACACACACACACACACGAGCATACTCTGTTACTTTAACCAAACCCTGTCCTCTCTCTTTCTATAATTAGTCAAATGTTTTCTTCAAAACATCGTATAACATAAAGTCAATAGGTGTGGAGCATTGTCTATATCAGGGGTTGCCAACCCCTGAGAAGTGGTGTGCCAAGTCTTAATTAATTTAGGGTTTCACGTGCCAGTAATACATTTTACATTTACAGAGGCCAGCGGACGGAACCCTAGATGGTCTGGGGATCCATCCACCGTCCCCTGCCAGACGGGGTCCCGGCCGCAGGCCCCACTCAGCCCGCTGCTGGCCCGGGGTTCCGTCCATTCAGGCCGGCAATGGGCTGAGCAGGGCCGGCGGCCGGGACCCAAGCTGGCAGCAGAGTGCCACTAAAAATCAGCTCACGTGTCACCTTTGGCACGCGTGCCGCAGGTTGCCGACCCCGGTCTATACGGTTTAAGAAACTTAAATTTCATATTCTCATCCTTACCAAGATAATAATTCACAAAATCAGCAGTCAGAGCCGGTTGCTTATGTTTTCTCCTTCCATCCACACTGGAACTGGTATCTGAAGTGTCCACTGGGAAGATGTCTGTACTAATTCCCATTAATTCAGCTTTGCGCATCAGCTTACGTATGGCTGAAGCACTGCTAGTGAGTGGTCGTGGCAGCTTCTCCCTGGGAACCCATGCCTGAGGCCTGGTGGTACGAGCTAATTCTGCCTTGGCACGATACTGCTGCAGTCTGGCATTGATTCGGGCCTACAATCAAATTCCCAGAAAATCAAAACAGAGTAAAATGGTGTAAAATGGAATCCAAATCACTTTTTCTAGTAAACTTAACCTTCCTTGAGACTACATGTACACTAGACACTACTTTCAATAAGAAAAAAATGCACAATTTAATCCAGCATTTTTTAATGCTTTAGGATGTGATATCTCAACAGGCAAAACCACATACAGTATGAATATCATTTGATTTTACTTTGACATTTATAGTTAACTGACAGTGTATTTTCTTAACCTTAGATTTGTGAAGTCAAACGGAGTAATATTCAGAACTGTCTTTCTGGGAATACCACCTTCAACAAGACTATTAACGTAAGTGGTCTTCTGGCAATCTGCTGGCATGTCTAACAACATAAGTAGGTGGAACGGCCTATGCTCACAAAGTGGGTAAAACCCTTGGCTTAGGTATCAGAAAACAGATTAAGATGAAAGTATACTGCCGGCATAAATGCCCATCTAAACCTGCTGGCCGACACTTATGCCAAGTCTAGGACCCTCTTTTGCAGGAACTCCTTTCCCAGTTATAGCACTGTCCACACATACCTCTTTATACACTAGCTGACATTAAGGAAATTCACAAACAAAAGCAAGAGAGACACACTGTATATATTGCTGACGGCATCTGTATATTTTGGACGTCTGGGAGACCAACGCCAGACGATCAAGTTGTTACATGTAATTGGAAAATAGTGCCTGCAGAAAGTCTTTGCAGTGGAAGACAATAACACTAGCATAAAAACTATGACAGGCATGAATCCAGCTGAGTACCAGTTACAGCTTGTATACTCACCTGCATGAAGAGGAAGTTAGACTACAGAGCATTATTCCAACTTCCCCAACACACGATATGAGATACCCTTACATGTGAGAGAAAGGCAAAAACATGTGCATATACATGCTACACTTGAGGAATACCAGTTAACTCAGCAGTTCAACTTACTAGCTTATGACCAGCATGATCTGGAGCAGGATGTCAAACATCTGGTTTGTAGGCTGAATCCAGCCCAAGGACTCTCTTCTCCAGCCCATAGCACAAAGGACCCAGAAGTGAACTGGAGTGGACAGACTGAGTAGGGAGGTCATGCTTGATTTGACACAGGCACCTGAGGCCTCTCCTTTTTCTTTCTGCCTTCCCCTCCCCTCAGTTGTTTTCATAGAGGAGGCAGCACCACAATGCCTCAGAGATGAGACAGAATAGGCTCCTTCCCAGCTGAACCACTATTCTCTCACTCTCATCCAGGCCTCAATCCCCCGTGCTGCTATCCAGACACAGATTTTGTCTTCAATGTTTAAAAAGATGTGTTTTTACTCTGGAATAACTAACACACATGCTATCCCAATGTAAATCCTAGTGATGACAAGGCACCATAGTTTTCACCATAAGGGAAATTGAGGCAAGGGGTCAACCATGAGGCAGAGAAAGTGTCGTGACACAGTGGATAGAGCACTGGACTGGAACTTCAGAGATCTGGGTTCTATTCCTGGCTCTGCCCTAGCCTGCTGGGTGATTTTGATCAGACCCACCTCCAGGAAGCTCCTCAGATGCACTGCCTCAGAGTCCAGATTCCTGTAGCTGGGGGAGATTCCTGGATCTGATCTCCCCTGTGCTGCTAGGAGCACCTGAACAAGGGGATCCTAGCTGCTAGTCCCAGCCAGGCTGAGGAGAGACAGGACTTCCTCTTCCCCCGCACAGCTGCTCTGGGGGCGGGGAGGAGGTCAGACCCACATGTGGATACCTCCCCCAGCTGCAGGAAGCTCCGTGGTTGCGCTACCTTCAGAACCGCAGTGCAGCCATGGATCTCACTTCCCCCCCCAGAGCAGCCATACAGGGGAAGAGGATGTCCTGTCCCAGCCTGAACTAGCAGCTAGAAGCTCCCAGCTGGGGCACTCCGAGCAGCATGGAGGAGATCAGACCTACCTCCTCGATCCTCTCCCAGCTGCAGGAAGCTCCATGGCTGCAACCTTCAGAGCCCAATTCTGAAGGCAGAGCAGAATAGAGGGTACAAATACAGCGACTCCCCCCTGCAACAGCTTTGCAACCCCCCACGACTCTCTTTTGGGTCAGAACCTCCCACAGTTACAACACTGTAAAATTTCAGATATAAACATTTGAAAACATGAAATTAACCAATTTTAAAACCCTCTGGCCATGAAATTAATCAAAATGGACCGTGAATTTGGTACGGTCCCTAGTAGTCGTATAGCTCCGTGCAGTAAAAACTATAAAGTAACTTGTCGCTACTAGGGAGAGAAAAAAAGAGAGGGAGGCTGAGGATGCCCAAAGTTGGGCAAGTGGGTAGGGGAAAAGAGGAAACATTCACAAGAAGGAGGAGCGGTGGCTAGACATGGAGGGACCCACATGGAGGGGAAAGTTTCACCAACACATATACTTTTTAAATTAGTCTTCGTCTTTAAATGTGATATTTAGCTTCACTAATTAAAGTGATGGCCCCTAAATTAATGGATAATTCAGCACTCCTGACAGAACATGTATTAACACAAATTTAACACCATTAATCTAGAGAGACTGGAAATATAGAATGATGGCAAGAACAAGAAACATTTATAATTTCTATTCGGGTACAGGGATGAGAACAATCTGTACACTCACTCAGTCTTCTAAACATGGCAGTGCTCAGCTCTCTTGGAAATCAGGCCATTAATTTAGTTGCATAAATAAAGATTTAGGAGCCTAATTTTAGGCACCCATTTTTTTAAATCTTGACCCAGGCCTACAATGATATATCTGTGACTGTTAGTAGCAAATCACTCCAATGGCCGGGGAGGACTCTGAGTTACTACAGGGAATTCTTTCCTGGTGTCTGGCTGCTGGGTTGTTGTAATGCTCAGGGTCCAACTGACCACCATATTTGGGGTTGTGAAAAGAATTTTCCCGCAGTCAGATTGGCAGAGATCCTGGGTTTTTTTTTGCCTTCCTCTGCAGCATGGGTCATTTGCAGTGTAAATAGTGCACTCTCTCTAACTTGACATCTTTAAATAATGATTTGAGGATGTTAGTAAGTCCTCCAGAGAGTACAGGTCTATTACAGGAGTGGATGGGTGAGGTTCCGTGGCCTGCAATGTGCAGGAGGTCAGAGTAGATGATCATGACTGTCCCTTCTGGCCATACAGTCTATGGGATTCACAGCAAAGACCTTTACAATTTAGGCATTGGTTACAGAGCCTTTTTTTTTTCCCCCTTGTCCATCATTTCTGCCACTATTATGTAGATCCACAGCTTGCCTCTGCCACCATCATCCTTATCCCCTCACAGTTTCTCTCAGTCACTTTTCTGCCTCACAGTCAGTCTCTGCTCCCCCTGACCTTGAAACACAGAGTCAGTCTCCCTCCTCTCAATTCTTGTCTCTGGTGTCACAGCAGCCCCTGACAGTTGGGAGGAAAAACTGCATGTAAAATCCTACTTAGCCCAGGTCTGGGGGCATGCCCAGTACAAATGGAACCTTCTGAGTATTTTGTTTTAAAACTATCATCGACTGAGTATATGGAAACTGAAATTTTTTAGAGGATTATACATTTTCAAATTTTGGTGGATTTTCATGAGGCCGGCAAAAAACCTATTGACACCAGGACAACTCACTTGCTAAAGTTCAAGTCCCTTCTTCAAACCACAGAGGCACCAGAGCTTAGACACACAGCATGGAAAATTTCAGCCTAAAGGACTAAAACATACAAGCAACTGAAAATAGGGGTCTTATATTATAAAGTGTTCAGGCAACCTTAACCGTAGGCTTTGCTACTAGCTCCTTGTAATAACTAAGGGAGAAGGTGGAACTTGCTTCTAACATACACATAGCAAAATATCTAAAATCCTGGCTGCTTTGACTGATTTTTATTTTTTTAGAATCTTGAAATAAAGATTAGAAGTAAAATAAACGCAACTATGGAATTAAAAAAGAATGATAAATTACCCTGGTATAATAGAGAATTATATAAACTAATCAGGATTATTTCCATTCAGATGCCTGCATGTGCACCTTTTCAAGGATTATATTATGGGGTCATTCACTCTTAGGGAATCCAATCTAAAGATAATTCACTGCCATATTAATTGACCATATGCCATCAATGTAGTCCAAATTTCATTTTCAACCACCGTAATTCCACCTTCCTCTTCCCCCTCCCTCTTCTCATTTAACATTGATGATTAACACACATGCAGCTTTGGCACGGGTACAATACCTGCGCTTCTGGCGAGAGCTGTTTCTCTCTTTCCTGCAGGGACATTTTACAATAAGACTGTAAAGCCAAGTAGTTCTTCCGTTTCCATTTTCTGTCTAACCGGTCCGCATGCTGTTTACAATAAGCAAAAAAAGGATCTGCTATGTCCTGTTTCAGCAAGAAAAGAGGTGGAAAAGAAGGGAGGGAAAATCTAGTTAGAAAAATGATATAGAGGAACATAAAGCCAGCATTTCATGTATACCACAATTAACATTGACAACTAAGGGGAAGGAATACAAGCCAAAATAGGAAAAGAACAGGTTAAAGAATATTTAGATAAGTTAGATGTATTCAAGTCAGCAGGGCCTGATTAAATTAATCCTAGGGAACTATTTTTTTTAATAATCCTAGGGTTTTATTTTTTAAAAGGGGAACAAGGAGAACCCGGGGAATTACAGACCAGTCAGCCTAACTACAATATTTGGAAAGATATTGGAGTAAATTATTAGACAATCAATTTGTGAGCACCTGGAGAATAGGGTTATAAGGAATAGTCAGCATGGATTTGTCAAGAACAAATCATGCCAAACCAACTTAATTTCCTTCTTTGATAGGATTACAGACCTGGTGGATGGGGAAAAGCAGTAGACATGATATACCTTGATTTTAGTTAGGCTTTTGACAGGGTTCCACATGACATTCTTGTAACCAAACTAGGAAAATGTGGTCTAGATAAATTTACTATAAAGGGAGTGCACAACTGGTTGAAACACCTTACTTTAAGGGTAGTTATCAATGGTTTGCTGTCAAGTTGGGACAGTGCATCTAGTGGGGTCAGTCCTGGTTCTGGTAATCTTCAATATTTTCATTAATGACTTGGATAATGGAGTACAGAGTATGCTTATAAAAATCTGCAGATGACACCAACCTGAGAGGGGTTGCAAGCACTTTGGAGGACAGGTTTAACATTCAAAATGACCTTAACAAATTGGAGAATTGGTCTGAATTCAACAAGATAAAATTCAATAAAGCCAAATGCAAAGTACTTCCCTTAGGAAGGAAAAATCAAATGCACAACTACAAAATGGGGAATAACTGTCTAGATGGTAGTACTGCTGAAAAGGATCTGGGGTTACAGTGACCACAAAGTGAGTATGAGTCGTTCATGTGATGCAGCTGCAAAAAAAGCTGATTATGATTCTGGGCTGTATTAACAGGAGTGTTGTATGTAAGACACAGCAAGGTAACAGTCCCGCTCTACTCAATGCTGGTGAGACTCCCGCTGGAGGACCATGTCCAATTCTGGGCACCACAATTTAGGAAGAATGTGGACAAATTGGAAAGAGTCCAGTGGAGAGCAACAAAAATGATAAACTGTTTAGAAAACTTGACGTAGGAGGAAAGGTTGAAAAAAACTGGGTATGGTTAGTCTTCAGAAAAGAAGACTGAGGGGTGACCTGGTAATAGTCTTCCAATACCTTAAAGGCTATTATATACGAGGACGGTGATCAACTGTTCTCCATGTCCACTGAAGGTAGGACAAGAAGTAATGGGCTTAATCTGCAGAAAGATTTAGATATTAAGTAAAATTTTCTAAGTATAAGGGTAGTCAAGCTATGGAATAGGGTTCCAATGGAGGTCATGGAGTCCCCATCATTGGAAACCTTTAAAAACAAGTTGGACAAACACCTGCCAGGGATGATCTAGGGGTTTACTTAGTCCTGGCACAGCGCAGAAGGCTAGACTTGATGACTTCTCGAGGTCTCTTCCAGCTCTACATTTCTACGATTCTATGTTTCATATAGATGGGTCTTGTAGAGCAACACAGTCAGGGTTTGAATCGGTTTAACTAAAGGCCTGTTTAAAACCAATTTTGTTAAATTGATGCAAGCCCACATCTGTACACTCTTAAACAGATTTTAAGATTGTGTATATTGATTTAGTGTAATTCAGTAAGGAACTGACTTAAGCTAAATCAATGGAAGCCAGGTTTAAACTTGTTTAAAAGTGACCACATAGAAATTTTGATTTTGTTTTTTTAAGCTGAAAAGTTTCTTTTTTAGACTAGCAATCATATAGTTTATGAAAACAACATAATTTGTTACAAAAATTCGGTTTCTTATATCAAAAGAGGATACTAAAATTGTACTAGCAATTATTTCCACCCAGAATTGCAAATAGAATTAAAAGATATATTTAATTGTTCCCATAACTCATGTAGCTCAAAGTCTAAATTCCATTATTTGCACACAGAAGAGACTAATTTTCAAAATTGCGTGTGAAAATAATGAGGGTTCAGTTTCAGAGAACAAGTTGAAGCCAAATTGAAAAGTCTAACCTTAGAAGTTAAAGATTTGTTTTAGTTAAAGGCCTCAATTGAAGGTTTCAGTAGACACCGTATTTTAAAATGTTACGGAGGGTCAGTGCTACCCAATATGCTAATTAGTTCATGAATTATTTTTGTTTGTTTGCTTTTTTGTTATTTTTTTAAATAATCACAGTTAAGGAGCACTGAAGCAGGTCCCAGCAAATACAGCACAGGACAAAACAACACTGCAAGCACCTCCTCGTTCTCTAATACAGCTCCCTCGTGCCGTACAACAAAGCAATACATTCTCCATGTACTTTTTAACAGTCTCTAATGATCTCCAAAGTTTTTTTTCTTTTTTTTTTTTTTGAATGAACAAATGAATTTACATTTCTGCAAGTTAACCCAGGGAAAAAGGGACAACTTCCTATGACAAGTGTTGTACCAACAGGTAACAATTACAATAAAGCACATAAGGAAAGCATTTAGAGCATTGTATTACTGCACACGAAGATGGGATGGGAGAGTTGTCATTTTTCTATATTGAAGTGATGGAAGTTATTTTTATGTATCCAAGGTTGTTTTTTTTCCTCCATGCCTGTTCACAAACAAATATACGGTTACTGGTATATTTTAATACTAAATAGTTATAAAAACCTGCCCTCTTTGACTCCTTCTGTAATCACAAAGTGCTCCTGGTTGCTGTTTGGACAGTTCCAAGAAACACTCGCCTCTCTTTTGCCCCAGCAGCTCACTAGAATATTTGATTGTTCCAGAAGAGACAGGCAGGGAGTCCTTACATATATGTTACATATATAATGTATGCATTGGTCTCTCCATATTGTTTCTCTGGGCAGCAATCACATTATGCTCAATATTCCTCCAACAGATCAAAATTTCCAAAGAAAGGGACATTTTGGGAAAAAGACACACACCTTATTCTGCATTAAGTGAAAGAGCTCATTATTATATCTTGTTTTCCAAATACATTTTTCAGATAGCATGGTTTTCCTTTTGACTTCTTCATAGTAGTTTTTGTATGGCCTAAGCAACGGCAGTCTTTTGTATGTTCTTCTATTTTTCATTCGTCACTTACTAAATTTTCACATTCTTATAGCTGAACTACTTTATCAATTCATTTACCTCGTGTATACAGTCTACAAGCTGAGTAAGACTGCCTCAGACAAAGGTGGATCAATATATCTCAGTTTACTTTCTCTTTTTAATTTCCAGCACATCTTCTATATGAATAATTGTCAGTAAAATTTACTAACCAGGCACAAAAATCCACTGACTCTCTCATAACAACAAATTAAATATTTTACTTGCCTGTCCAACAAAAGCCCACCCACTTACTCACCAGAGGCAAGTAAAATTTTGCAAGTTTGATTTAAAAATATACTCTGTATATTCAGATTTCAAGATAGGGGAATATACGTGACACAGAGCTTACCTCCATAAGAATTTAAATTAACAATTCTGAGTTATGTGATTCCAAGGCCTTGATTAAAAAATATTTTGTTTGCGGTTGTTTAAAGATAGGCAATGTTTTTAGGTGAAAAGCATGGCAAACATACAATGATGGGAATTCACAACATGAGCTCCTTAAAGAATCAATATTAAACCCCATCTAGTAGAGACATCACTGTTTAGCTGAAGGCACCATGTTTATCTTTCCAGCACTTCATCTTGTAGGTGAAATTTATTTTTTATGAACAGTTCTGACAGAGAATTACTAATGGTCTGAGTGGCCAGTTCCTTCAGAAATAAGAAAGACAGTGATTCCAATGTAGATAATGAATGACAACAAAGCCTGCATGTCAGTGTGCACTGTTGTGTGCATGTCCCTCTCACTCACCTATACACAATTTACTTTCTGTCGCATTTACTATATGTAAAGATGAATATGACTCGCTAAACTTGAACTTTGCAATTAGGACAGACCACTAGACACTTACAAGGTATTTCCATTGAATAAATCAGCAATAAACCTTATGCAAAATCTTGTCATTTGGATTGCTTTATTCTTATTATCAAGAAGAAAACTGGTACCATGAGTGAATATGTAAGGAATATGGAATTTAAATGTAAGTATTTTAACTGGTGCAATTAATGGTAATTTACAAAAACTCAGAATGACAATCAAGAATACAATGAAAGTTACTTATTTATGACACAATTTAATGATAATATTGAAAAAAGATGTATGCAAAAACATTTGACGAGAACCAGGGCCCCATTTGCACAGCACAAAGGGGATGTAATCTGGCTACAGCTGGAAACTGAGCAAAGCAGAGGGAGATTCTAAACTGGAATGAAGCTGACAAAGCAAACTCCTACAACAATGCACCCACATCTTAGTTAGGGGCATTTCAGGAGAAAGAAGTGGTAAGATGGGGAGTGGGATAGGAGGAGCTCCTCTAATACAGTCATTAGCTAGTGTATGATTCCTTAGAGACAATAACTAGCTATCATAAATCAGAGCAGGCCTTAAGCTGTCCTAATTTAAATTAGGGCTAGGCCAGCTTGAAACAACTTCCTGTGAAAAGCATATCTTGGCACAGGAAAAAAAAAAAAAAGCTAGCCCACTTCCAAAAATATACTTATGACCTCACAGCAGCATCTTATCAAAATCTATCCTCAGGAATGTTATCCAGAAACACAATAAGCTTCCACATGCTTTTGTTAGGACATTTCCATTTTATGTTTTTCTAAAGAAGTTGCATCACACATATACCTCTTCAGCTGCTGCTTCTGACAACAGGCCTTCTTTCTGAGCACAGGTCACATGGAAATAAGCTCTACACATGCCAGCATCACAACTAATGCAAACACCAGTTCTGGCAAAACGAGGGTCTTCACAAAAACTGCATTCCTAACACAGAAAAATGGCAAAATTAACTACAGAGTAAACACTACAATAAAGATTCGACATTCTATTTTTAATTTTTTTTTTTGCATAAATGAAAGATAATTTAGATGTCTTCTATACAGACACACAAAGTCTGTTAAATGTTACTAATGGATAGATTTAATCTCATGAGGTATAGCAATACAGTTAAGGCTAGCTATCTAAACTGGGATTCTCCAAACTTCTTTTTTTTATTCCTATATTCCCTTTTAACAGGTATAGTACAAAAAGACTTGAAATAATAATGCTGGATCTTCTTGTTTTCTTGCATTGGTAGGTTTCAACTTAGACTCTGCACATTACTTTGTTTTAAGTGACTAAACATGCCTTGTTAAAATGAAGAAGAAATTAAACATAACAGATTTAAACAAATGATCATCTGGCTAACATGTAAGCAATAATCATAATAGTAATAAAATCAGCACAGTAATCCTTATTTGGGAAGGATCCAATTGCATTAGCAACTTTATAAACTATACACAGGGGTCGGCAACATTCGGCACGCGGCTCACCAGGGTAAGCACATCATTCGCCCGCGCCGCTTCTCGCCGCCCCCATTGGCCCGGGACAGCAAACCGCGGCCAGTGGGGGCCGCGATCGGCCGAACCTGCCACGTCAGCAGGTAAATAAACTGGCCCGGCCCGCCAGGGTGTTTACCCTGGCGAGCCGCGTGCCGAACGTTGCCGACCCCTGCTATACAGATAAAATCAGAATCACCTCACCCAAAAATGCAATATATTCCAGGTTGGGGAGAAGCTGTGAAAACACAGCAACACACAACACTATACAACTGTTTAGTCATGAAATGAAGAAGAATACTGCATTAAACTGTATAAAACTGGAGCTCCAGAAGGAATTCAGATAGGCAGAATATAAAATGATTATCCATATTTTCATTAGAAACCGAGACTCAGTCTCTATTGTGATAGGGTTAGTGTTTTATTTTGCCAACATATTGCACTGCCTTGGGTCACTTACTCTGCCCACCTGTGAAGAGCATTGCTTATCCTATAATCCTTTTTAAAGCTTATGATGTGCCCAAATAACTGATTAATAGGGGCAGAAGTAGTAATGTCAACAAAAAACCTAGCTATTATGTAGAATAGCTGCTGTACAGAAGTTGCCCACTTGGACACTCCTATAACAGTGCTGAATGTTTTGGAAGACTCATAATAGGCATGCTGGAGAGCCACTTCCAATACACAAGCTGCTCTTCAGTCATCCTGGCATAAAAGTCTTTTTTGTTGGTGGTTAATTTAGTACTCATGAAAAGTCCCACATTGATAGCCTTGGGACTCAAATTTTACATGCACCAAATGGGTACAACAAGAGAAGCAACAGCAAAATCTTCCCCACATGGCCTGACAGCTAGAGAAACAACATTTGGACATAAGAAAACCAATGAGCCATCTACCAGAAATCCTTTGGTCTCTATTGAGTGTCATTTTGTGCCAATTGTAACGGTAATTTGAGTGCTATGTACATACATCCTCCTATGAACTGGACTAAGAACAATTACACTTCACATAAAAGTCCATTTGGGGATGGGGAGTACATTTTTCATTCATACTCCCATACATTCCTCAACTCTCTACATTCATACTTTGGCAGACTGCCATTAACACACATAACAAGGAGGTAATGAGTGTCTCCAGAAAGAGAGAGGGGGGAAGAGAATGAGAAACAAAAGAAAAGACAAAAGAGGATGCATACTTCTGATTTTATTGCATTTCCAGCCCTGAATCTTGTTGCATTTGTTGCAGAAACAGAATTACAAAAAGCTAATAAGATATGCTATGCCATATATGTAGAGAAAATAAAACTATACCTAGGTAAACATTTCTCTTCTAGTCTTACCTTGGCACCATACTTAGAATAGTTCATTTCGGTAAGCGTTACTGGCCGCAGCTTGTCAATATCTCCAAATGCCACTCCTGGAACATAGAGGGCACAAACAATGTGGACCCACCTACAACAGCAGAAAAATTAAGCCATTATCATCAAGAACAACAACATTTTGCTCTTGTATTGCACTCTTCATTTGCAGATCTCAAGTACATTACAATGGATTGAAAATATCATTCACATTTATAGATAAGGAAAATGAGTCATAGAAAGCCAAGGGTGTCAGAAACAGAATGTAAGCCTATTGACTCACAGGTGAATGGCCCATCCACAAGCCTCTGGTTCCTCCCTCCTATCATCTTTAGTTTTTTTTTTTTTTTATTTGTTTTGACTTTTTCTAGCCCAAGTGTTGGTAGCAGCTTTCTTTATGTGGCTCATTGTCAAATACAAGTTCAGTAAAAACCACAAGCATTACCTCTCTCTCCCCCGAGTATAGTCTGGCTCAAACATTGCACGATTTGTATGCTGACTCTCTTGTGGAGAATGAAGGGAAGCTGCTCCCAAAAACAGGCAGACAAAAAGTCACTTTGCCAACCACTTTGTCAGAGGTGGTTTCTCTTCTTTTTCTAGTTTTGTTTACATACTCTGAATGATCTGCCACATGATAATGCAAACAAACACAGAACAGAACTCACTAGACCTAATTCCTGCAAGGGAGTTAAAAAGGCACTAGCAGTACTAAGCCTAAAATTATTTGAATGTTAAGAAAGAACCACCACTTCATCAATGTTTTTTTTATAAAGCCAGTTTTTTTTTTTAAATGAAACATCAAATCACAGTGTGTGTTACTTTTCAAGAGCCAGCTACTATCATAGCTGGTATATTCCATTTTGCAGTATCAAATATTAAGGTATAACACTGGTCTTATAAACAGCTCAAACTGGAATTAATTCAGGGAAGTCTAATGGTCTGCATTACACAGGTCAGACTAGATGATCATAAGAGCCCTTTCTGGGGTTGATCAATGAAAGACTAGATGATAAAATGGAAAAACCATGATTTTGAGAACATTAGATGACTAATATGTGAACATGGCAAAAATTACCTCCAACAATGTATACAGATGATTTTTCCCAATTTGAGACCACGTGATAATCTCTTGGATTTAATTAAGAATGAAATAAATGTATTTTTTGACAAAGACTAGGAATGTTAATGTACCTCCCTTCGAATATCCCTCTGTACGCAGTTTTGAAATTTGGTCCTTTACGAAGGGAACAACCAATGTTCCTGGCAATATGTCCAGTGCTCTAGTAATTCTAAAAAAAAAATCTGCTGTATGATAGAACTTTCAAGCATCACTAAAAAAAATTATTGGTGTCTCTTGTCAAAAAGATCTCTGGATAGTTATGCAAAACTTAGATGCAAGACTTCACAATAAATTACAACATACTTGACAGCTTGAAAAAAATAGAGAGAGAAAAAAGAAAATTTGGACATATATTTAAAGAAATAATGTGATCACATTGTGCCAATAACTACCTTTGAAATATTTAAATAATGTAGTTAAAACTTTAGTTATATGAATGATAGTAATTGTGGCAGCAACTGCTAGAATTAAGTCTCTATGTGCATTTCAATCTAAACTCATGTTTTAATCCACTTAAAGCTTTCTGAAATCTTCACCATTTGAGTTGAAATTATCTAGGTTTGGTCTATGTTGGAAGGTGAATTTCTTCATAACTGTGGCCAAAAAAAAAGCTCAGTGACTTTGAAGCACAGAGACAGTGGAGAGGAAAAAATTCCCTTTCCAAAAATCCTTGCAACCTTCATCTGAACAGCTCTAGAACTGAAACAGCCAGTTGTAAAAAGCTGAAATATCACATGGAAGCAGTCACAATGGAACATCAGTACACCTCTACCCCGATATAACGCGACCCCATAGAACACGAATTCTGATATAACGCGGTAAAGCAGTGCTCCGGGGGGGCGGGGCTGCACACTCCGGCGGATCAAAGAAAGTTCAATATAACGCGGTTTCACCTATAACGCGGTAAGATTTTTTGGCTCCTGAGGACAGCGTTATATCGAGGTAGAGGTGTACTTTTAAGCAATCAGCTAATGCTGTTTTTGATTTGACCCGTCAAGGTGCTTCAGGTCCTTGATTCCTGTTGCAATAGGTATGGAGAGTCAACGTATGAGATGTCTCAAGAAGAAAGCATGGAGTCTTGGTGCCATTGAATTTACATATTATCTCTTGGATGAGAGAGTATGGACAGAGATATAGGTTTTTGCTTCATGCTATGTTAGGTCCCCAATCACGGAAGCATCTGAGACCCTTAAAAATTATAACTTATTTATCCTCACAACACCGTTGTAACATAGAGAAGTACTACTATCTCCACTGTATGGATGTGCAACTCCTCCTCTCATATGTATACATCAGAGTTCAATGTCCAGGTTCTGTAACCAGAGAACAGTCTCTGTATCAAGGAAGGCAAGGCATTGTAAACCACCCTCCAGATGTTGAGATGTGAACTTCATCACCACAAGTCTGCAATGCTGCTCCATGGTCACTGAAAGGAGAGGAAATCAGGCCAAACTAACATATAGTTGCAGCAACTCTGAACAAGCCAGAGAATAATCTGTTGAACCAGGTCCAAGATCTATAATCAAGTGAAGAAGGAGGTAGGCAGGGGCAGCGAAGGACTCCTGAGTTTACTTGGTGTATCAGACTCTCTTTCCCACCAATGCTTCCACTCTATAAGAACGTAGTTTTCAGCTCCCTAGCATGGTAAAGGGCAAATAAGTGCTCTCATCCAGGAGTGTGAGAGCTACCGTAGCAGAAGAATGATGAAAGATCAGGCACAGTATTACACTCCAGTGCTCAGGAGAGGGATTTCTCCCCTGAATACAAGTGACCTTGGTACTGCATGTTTCTTGTCTGAAAATGGAGCATCAGTTAACCGGAAATGTAATAAGTCAGTTTTATCTGTCATAGCTCTCCAGGCAGAGCTAACAGTAATAGTATCTAATCAAAAGTCTGGCAGAACGATGTGTGCTAGCACATACAAACTAGAGGTTAATTTATAATTCAAACACCCACTAATAATATGAGTGGCCACTTGCATTTAGATGGGGAACTGAAGCGTGAAGAGACTGTGTTGCCAAGGGTCACAAAGGAAGTTTGTGGTACAGGAAGGTCTTGAACATTGGTCTCTCAAGTCCTGTAGGCCAGTATCCTCATCACTGGACCATCTTTCCTCTCCACATTAATAAGTGTTGATTAATGCACGATTACTTAATAAAAGTTAGCAACAGCTATTATTTAATTATGGATGAGGTTTGCAGCATTCCATGCATCACTGAAGGTTCACTGGATAATAATGCAAGGCTGTTTCTGGTGCAGTTGATTCCTAGTAGTCAGTGCATCCTGCCGTGCAGAAGGACTGATAGATTGATGAGGAGGTGGTATGGCTGTGTTGCTTACAACTAAACTAAAGTGTGTGGGGAGAGAGGGTCCCTCATTCCAAAACTAGATCTGGGACAGTGTCCATTTGATTTAAGAATGCCAAAACTCATGTTCCTTCTGCCTGATTAAGGGTAATACAGGAAGTACTCAGACCTTTACTTGTGGAGACAGTGAACAACTCCTTTAACGAGAGCAGAATGTACAAAAAAAAAAAATTAAGGAAATATTTGTGTTGCCTTTGCCTAAAAAATTAGCACTTGACGCCAGCAATCTGGCCAATATAGGCAAGTGGTTAACCTTCCATTTTTGGTTAAAATAATAGAGAAGTGGAAGCTAAACAACTCTCCTAGAGCCTAAATGATTGAGAATTCCTTGAGCCATATCAGTCAGGCTTCAGACCTGGCTGTAACATGATACAGATGATGATTTTCTGACAATGGACAAATACCAGGTTCCATACTGATGCTGTCCTAGATACCACTAATCACAAGGTTCTTCAATTCTTTTCAGTAGATGGGAATTGCCTTACAGTTGCCTCATTCTTTTATCTCAGAAATTCCAAAGGGTAGTTTGGGGATATCACTTTTCTGTCCTGAAGGCTCTCTTACGCAGGGTTCTGTATTATCACTCTTCCTATTTCATGTGCATATGAGGCCACTGCCCCAGACATGCATGAAGACAAGATAAGATGCAGGGATGTGGTTTAATTAGGCTGCAACTTTATTAATTTATCTCAGTGATTCTTAACCTTTCTGGACTACTATACCCCTTTCAGGAGTTGGATTTGGTCTTGCATTCCTCCAAATTTCACCTCCCTTAAAAACTACTTGCTTACAAAATCAGACATAAAAATACAAGATTCACAGCACTACTGAAAAATTGCTTACTTTCTCATTTTGTCTGTATGAAATTTTAGTTTGTACTGACTTTGCTAGTGCTTTCCTGTAGCCTGTTGTAAAAATCTAGATGAGTTGATACATCCCCTGGAAGACCTCTGTTTACCTCTAGGGGTAACACGTACCCCTGGTTGAGAACCACTGATTTATCTCATTCTGGGAATTATTTGACAATAACTAACATAGCTCATTTCAGCACTTCACTCATTTCCACATGTTTGGTCAAGGCTCCCATAAGTACCACACCACCCCCTAACAGCCCACTGCTGGGACCCCTTCATCCTCGCCTTTTATGCAGGTTAAGAGGTTGGGAAAAGGGGGTTGTTTCCTTGCTATATCAGACATTAGGAGCCCCATCTCCATTCTCCAGCTTCTTTAGGAAACACCTTCCCCTAAGTCCACATCCAACTCCAATTTATTTCTGAATACCTGCCACTAGGTGTACCTGCTGATCCAGGCATAAGAGGGCTCCATCCAACAGGACAAGCATATTCTCTCTCACCCTTGTGTTCAGGGAGTGAATGGTTTACCTGACCCCCACTGGGCAGCTGTCAGCTTGGGTGATATCTACCCCTTCTCTGCCCAAAAGAGGCAGGAACCTTTAAAGAACCTATGGCTACTTTCCTTCTGGTTGACCAGACAAAACCCTCCTTCAAGGTTGCAGGGATTGCATTGGAAGTGTTACTGAAGAAGCTTGGAATGAAGTGTTTTCAGTATGCTTATGACACAGATCTCTCTCTCCATTTTGTCTGACAC